AGAGACCTTGGAGTCTCATTGAGGGCCCGCGGGTGGAGGAAGCGGCGATGTTGAGCATCATCGGGCAGGGCGCTGGGAACGGGGCCTGTGAAGTCATTGGAGTGAGGTGAACGCAGGACTGCTGTCATCTGATCCGACAGTACGTGAACTAGGGGCACTCGGTGGTGAGGCTGCTGGGAGGAGACCCCTTTAAAATACCCAGACAGAGGTGCTGTGTTGCACTGTTAACAGGTAGTGAACTTGCAGAGGCAGATAAGTTCAGAGAGCTGAACGTAGGGAGGGTCAGAAAAACGGTTCAACAAACTGACAGGTAAGGGATCTGTAAACAGACGCTGAAGTGAATGGGCAGCAGTTCTAACACTACAAATCCAGCACTTACGGATGCTGGGAGAGTATGAGAGGGTTGTGTCAGAGGCAGTGGCTGGGCTCGCGCGCTGTCCTAGAGTAGCATCTGCTGTTGCCACTGTTGGAGACAGAACGCTGGGCAAAGGGGACTGTTGATCTCACACGTTTCTTGATGTACTCCAAAAGAAGCTTTTGGCTGTACATGAGGATTTATCCTTACCTACAAAGAGATGTTTGCACTGCTGGCACAAAGCAGTTCTGAATAGTAGGTGAATTTATTTTTAGTAGTATTGCAAGGGATAAAGGGCTAATTAGTCTTTAGAAAAGTCTGAAAGCAAAGAATGACCAAAAAAATGTGTTAATTACTAAGGAGATTTTATGCTGTGTTGAAATAGAAGAAAGTTGATCAATTACGTTAATCAGTGACAGATTTCTAAAAGTAGTAAGCAGTTACTTACAGAAAAGATCAAGCACAATCTGGATAAAGTCCATATGAGCACTAACAATCCCGTATGATAGGATTCTATTAAACCTTGAGTAAGTATGAGCTTTCCTTGGGAGGAAAACAGTTTTTTCTTTATAAGGGGGTGGTTTTACCTTATTGGGAGAAAGATGTAGAAATGTTAAGTGGAGGTAATGCAACTCAATGACACTTTTAATTTTAAAAAATAAGGGGCTTTTAATTGTTCATAAAACTCTGGCTTCTTTCATTTGTGTATATTTTACACCATCCCTCCTGCTTTCAGTCATTCTGGATGAGAATTTTTACTGTTCAGAGTTTCACTGGTATCTCGTACAGTCTGCAGTGAGATAGGTGAAGAGTTGCTACCGAGACTACTAAAAAAAGATGACTTACTGAGGGGGATTTCTGCTAAGTCTAAAGGAGTATTTTAAGGGAGTGACATTATGTAATAGTCTGCAATATATGATTTTAATTTTAGTATCTAATTCTGTCATCTGTTAAAGTTTTTGTTAGTTACTACACATAATTTTCACTCTGACAGCATTCATTTTGTTTGAATATGTCTGCATTGTTTTGAACACTGGAATCTTTTTCAGAGGTGGTGAAAACACAGCTTCAAGCTTGCTGCAGGATCACTACCTTGATTCATCTTGGAGAACTGATAACAGCCTTGTAAGTATTTTTTAAATGAATGGTACTTCTAGCAAAGTTATCAGAACTTCTGTCTTCTCCATTCTCTTCCCTCCATGTACATGTTCTTGCAGGTTTTTAACCAGTGCTTTTTGCTTGCTTTTAGAAGCTATTATGTATTGATTCTTGATAGTCAATGTCACAGGATTAAAATATTAAAACTTACTTGTATTGTTTATAGCCATGGACGTTGGACAGCAGCATTAGCGAAGAAAACAGGGCTGTCATTGAGAAAATGTTGCTGGAAGAAGAGTATCCTTTTGCTGATTTGCTTGTATGCTTAGAACAATAGAAATCTTTCTGTTTTCCAGAGGAACTGGACAAATCTTTTCTTGTTAAGGTGACTGAAGCACTGTCATTTTGTAGGTAGTTTGCAGAAGTTAGGGAGGACCCCTGAATTAATCATCTAGCTACCTGCAACTTCCTCTGGTGCTTCTGATTGTTCAGAAAATGACTCTAAAGCTTGTCAGATATAAGCTGACACTGGCACCAAAAATAGCAATATTCATCCCCACTTCAGCTGCTTATTCATTGTGCTGATGCAGCTGTTTGTGTGGTTTCATAGTGAACCTGATCAAACAGCTGATCTGGCTAAATATAGCTAGTTCTTTTTGCTGAATTGTTCTTCACTGGGACTCGCTTACTGTCTGATTTTTGTCTGGCAACGGTCATATTTCTGGCAGCATGCAAAATGAAAACGGGAAGGGACAGCTGCTGCTTTTTTCTTTTTGTGTTTTTTAAGTAATGCTGTCTTAAATTGCCATTAATAGCATTTCTGGCATAAGTTGACCTCAACAGACTAGGGAAGTTACAGCAATAGTAGTCCACGGGCTAATTTATTTTCATGTTCTTTTTTGTAATTGAGTGTAGTAATATACAGTAATAGAGGAACAAGAAAATAAAGCAATTAAAATTTTCCTAATAGAATGGATTATTGAGGCTTAATTTGAAAATAGATAAGGTATCTGTATGATGAAAATTATTTTTGTGTGTTTTCTAAGTCAAAGAAAAATGCTGCTGCAGAAGCAGGATACCTAGTTTGCTGCAAGTAAAGTAAGCATGGGGTTCAGAAGTCAAATGTCACTTATGCATTAAACTAGTAAAAGTGTGTGAAATTGTGTGTGGTTTCGTTTTGAAAGCAGCATGGTACTTGCTTCTACACCTGAATAATTATGAACCGGTATAATTTATACGATTATTAGAATTCTCACCTGTACAAATATGTATTCTGATGCTTTGAAAACTTACTTAGTAACTATTTCAGATATTATTTATCTAATAAATCACTTTCTGAAAAAATGTGGCTCAATCAAAAAGAAGTGGAGAAAAGATCTATGAGAAGGTAAGCTCTGTTCTGGAAAAAATCTGTTAGATGGGAACAAATGAAAAGTCCTTCTAAAATTTATTTGCTGAAATATGCAACAGCATCACAATTACTAATTTTTATTTTTCACATTGTTTTTTATTTGCAGCCCACATAAGAAAACTGGAAAAGTCATGTATGTACATTTTAATGATTATGTTGCATTTTTAAGTGTGGCATATGATTTTTGTTAAGTTTTCAGAAACTATTGTAAAAAACAAAAAAGCTACAGTTCCTTAGTTCCTTTTGTTTGGCTGTACAAAATTATTTAAGAGACCTTTCAATGCAAAGAAATACTGTTGTGTGTAATAATGGGCTTGTAGTAAACTAGTCTGTTTTGTTGTAGCACAGTTATCCTTATGAGAAAACCCCTGGTAGTTCTAACTGGCTTTCTTGTCTCAGCTTTTCTGTTTGCTGTTTCTATGTATTTCCGTACCATTAGTTACTGATGACTCTAGTGTTGCCTTGAATCTTCTTTTGTGATAGAGGAGCTGACATGATTCTTGATACTTTATTTATCAGCTGCATTCATGTTTAAAACAATACCTTGAGTTTTACAGAAGATCGGGAGTAGTCTTCCTGTCAGAAGTTGCCTTCAGTTACTGGGATTTGAGAATATATGTTTTTAAGAAAGCATTAACTTCTGTTTCCTGTTTCGCTAGGGTGCGATCACCTACAAAATCAGCTAGCTACTCATTAAAGTGGACATCAGAAGAAAAAGAACTATTTGAACAAGGACTGGTAAGTTTGTTTATATATATGTAATATTTTGAATAGAAATCATTAGTTTATCTTAAATAACAAAATAATAAGTAATATAAATAAGCATGTTATATTTATCTGCTTTTGTACTTCTAATGTGTTAAAAAATAATTGCCATCTGCTAAGAGTATAATGATAAATCAGATTTATATTGATGAATCCCCCAAATTGGCTTTCTTTAACAGATGTTGTTCACGTGAGGCTGATTACAATTTGAGATCACAAAATATCTCAAATATAGAGCTTTATGAATTGTACAGTCATAATGCTGTAGTTAACTACAGGAAATATCGTGTGTGCGTATGCCAATCAGCTAATAAAGTGAAATCCTTTAACTACTGTTGTAAGGTCTTTAGAGATTATATGGTTGTACAGTGCTGAATGAAAGGGTTTGCTTCACCAAGTACAAATTCGTTCCAGTAGTATTCCTTGGGTTAGCAGGCAGCATAAATTACAGTGTGCCTGAGTTTGGTGAAGAAGATCCTCAAGTGAAGAAGAGTAGCAATAACTCACTGTTGGATGCAGTTTTTTCCTTGGTAGACTATTAGTAGCGAGGTTCTTTACCATGGGTTTGCTGTTCTTTTTGTGCATTTGTAATGAATAATTGAGCTTTTAAACTATTTTGGCACATAAAGTGTAACGTCTGGAATGTTAGAGTTTGGGTAACTTAAACGTGCTTTGTTGTGCTAGGTGAAATTTGGCCGCCGATGGACGAAAATTGCCAAGTTGATTGGAAGTCGTACTGTTCTGCAAGTAAAGAGCTATGCTCGGCAGTATTTTAAGAACAAGGTAAACAGAGTATCTTTCTAGTTTCAAAAAAGGCTGTTTGACTAGTATGTTGTTGTACATGTAGCTTGATTTTAATCTGCCTTTTGAAGATACTGCTGTTAAAGTGTGTACTCTGTTCAGAAAAGTGGAATATGCTTACTTGCAGATTTAAATATGAAGTCAGATCTGATTTCAAATTCCTAAAATGAGTTCAGTGTTTTTATTGCTGGTATAACTAAACAACAAGTATAGTATAATGGTAGTCTCTTATACTGTTGGTTGTTAGTCTGAAAATCTTGTTTTCCACTATACAGCTGTTTAAGATGTGTGTTATAGTTTTAGCTTTAGCCTCATTTGAAACTTCGGGAACATTTAAGAAGAAATTGCTATTGTCTGACTTCTTGGGTTTTTTTCTGAAGGGAAATACATATTAATTTACACTTGGGCTAGAAGTATGCCCATAATGCTGTGTAAAAATCAATTGCAATGGATTAAAAGGATAAGATGAGGAAGAAACACTTCAGAATATCTGCTGTTAGAATCAAATAGTTCTGACTATTTGGGAGGCAGAGGGAATTGTTTTGGTTTTCCCTCCTAAAACTATTTTTTTCATTTTCCTAAGGCAAAAACTGGTGATTCTGAAAAAGAAGAGCAGAGTCAGTGTGGTAGCAGTCTTCCCATTGAAGATGGGATAAGGGTAGAAGCATGGTCGTCTGGAAACTTGAGAGGCCGTGCAGACCCCAATCTGAATGCAGTGAAAATTGAAAAGCTGTCAGATGATGAAGAAGTAGACATAACTGATGATGTGGATGAACTACTTTCTCCTACCCTCCAGCAAGAAACTGGAAAATCTGAATTACCTGTTATTTCAAAAAGTCCAGCTGAAGAAACGAAAGGAATGGAACACATTTGTTCATCTGGCGGACATGGTTCTGCAGTTCCTTTACCTAAAGAAGATCGTCAACATACCAAGCAAGATACAGTGGATGCATTAGTATTTCCAGGTGTTGCAGCAACTTCTTCTCAGCACCTGAACGGTGATAAAACTGTGAACTTAGATTACCAGCAATACAATAATTTCATTGAGAAAGCTGAACAAGGCAGACTAGTAACATCTCGTGGAACTAGACAAGTAACTGATCAGCTCGGTGAGGAACAGAGACATCTGGCTGATAATGGATTGCTTTTTCCTTCTCCCCCTCAAGTGGATGAAGATCATCCAGAAGAAGCAGAGGAGCTTAAGCCACCTGATCAAGAAGTGGAGGTTGACAGAAGCATCATTCTGGAAGAAGAAAAGCAAGCTATTCCTGAATTTTTTGAAGGGCGCCAGGCCAAAACACCAGAGCGTTATTTGAAAATTCGGAATTACATTTTGGATCAATGGTAAGATGCATTCATTTCATTTACTGAAGTAAGTGATTAAGATGACTTCTGTCCTGCTTTGTTGTAGTTAAAACACTACTTAGTGCAAATAGCTTACTTCTGAAAAGAGTAAAATTGATTTCATTGTAGCATTGTAAAGATTGCCAGTGAACAGCACTGATTATTAATGCTTCTTTTGCATCTTCCCAGTTTTTTTCTGGCATTCTGGAAGCTAAGCAATGCAAATACTTTGAAGCATTATGAAAATGAGTGTCCTATAGGATGCAGAACAAGCTGCATCCTTTTTGGTTACATTATTTTTTTCCAATTTTTGTCATGCTATATGTAAGAATGCATATATGGTTTTAATAAATGGTTCCTCAAAATGACTGATAAAATTAATTCTGTAATGAGGTCTGTAGCATAGTAGTACTGCCTTTACAGAAGGTAGCTAGAAGAAAGAGTGCTAGAGTGAATGATGTTGACCAAAAAAATACTTCAAATTAAGAATCAATTTGGAGTAGTGCTTGTGCACTTGAGTATTTGGTTCTTTGGAGATGGAATATAAGTTTAAAGAACCTTAATGATTTGTGGTAGCAGGCTCAAGATACAGTTTGTTCTGTTAACAGTTTTGATTAGCGTGCTTGCTGTGTTGGGTAGTTTGCTTTTAAGGAGAATTGCTGAGTTCAACTCTGTTCTCGTTCAGTTGTCTTGTATATTGACAGCTTATTCTAGTTGCAAGTCCATACCACAGAAGTATTGAACTGAAACAATTCAGTATCAGCTTAAAAGCAAGTAATAAGTGCATAGAGAGTGAAAACAGGCTTACTTATTACACTGAGGAAGCCTGTGATTATATGAGCTATTTAATCTAATGCAGACATTCTTGTATCAGTTTAACAGTATCATAGTGCTTTTGAGTAATGCATTGCTTGCTGGCACCATTTGTGCTAGAAGAGTTTGTTTTAATGCGTAGAACATAAGTTTCACTCTGCGTAAGTGTGAGTGTGTATGAATAACCCTAAAATAAATTTTATGTGTTTTGTGAAATTTATATTTTTGCTGTGATCGCCCTGCGTAGCGGTGTGTAGTGTGAGCATTGCGAAGGGAAAAACCACTTCAGTGGCTTGTCTTAACCTCAGCTTAAGTCACACAATACCTTCCTCCCCCCATGATTTGTTTTACTATTTGACAGCGTGCTGTACTTCATTTTAGGGAGAGATGTAAACCCAAATACCTGAATAAGACTTCAGTACGTCCAGGCCTCAAGAACTGTGGTGATGTTAACTGCATTGGACGGATCCATACGTATTTGGAATTAATAGGAGCGATTAACTTTGGCTGTGGTAAAGATATTGCTATTGGAATCAATTCAGAACTTAAATTCTAATTAGTGTACGCTGAACACATCTATTGTTGACTGTCAGGTTTTTTTTTATTGAATGTTTTCATGTGAAGGCTAAACATCAAGGTTAGTAGATGTGTTTTTTAAAAGAAAAGTCATAAGTTCACTTCATTGAAGTGCAGGTGACTGCACTTAATCAGAATCAAGCATCCATGTGGATGATCTTCCAACTTCTCTGTACTCTTAATGTCTTAAATGGTAATTATTGTTACATTTAAGTTCTGTAGAAGAGAATCTTTGTTTTGACTGTATTTAGTACAGCCGTGTTCCAGCTTACGTGGCTGTAGCCTATTTTGGTATTAATGTTGAAGGACTACTTAATGTTAGGGTATACCTCTCCCGCAAAAGGATGTACATTAGTCCTTACTAGGAAGGACCTTCTGAGCAGATTGTTGCTCGTGACTTTCGAAATTCTAGAGGAGTTTGTAACCTGCTTACAGCATTGAAGATTTTTGGTTTTACCCAACGGACTTTTTTTTTTGTCCTTCTTCC